AAGGAAGGAAGGAAGGAAGGAAGGAAGGAAGGAAGGAAGGAAGGAAGGAAGGAAGGAAGGAAGGAAAGGCCTGTGATTTTTTGAACTCAAGCTCATCTTTACCATTGCTAAAAGATCTCTCTAGCAGGATTCATCGGTGCCCTAAGGCCAAGGATACTGATGCCTTCAAGAAGTGATTTCTGTGCTTTGGGGAGAAGCCTAAGTGAGCTTTTAGGTTAGCGGGAAATGAGTTTCCCAGAGTAAATATCTTTGTACTTGACATTGCGTCCTGACTCCCCACCCCAATGATGTTAGGCTTTCCAATACTAATCTCTGGTTCACCTTTTCAATGATTCATCAGTTTTATCTTTGGAACTAATAATCTTAGAAAAATAAAAAGTTTTTTATTCCCCTTAGAATTTGTCATTATTCTTAAAATCAAAAGAAACACTTGGTCAAGCTGGGTATCTCTGTCAGCACATCTGAATCCAACAGATCTGTATAGTTCCTGGTTTCTGGGTTTCCTCCACACAAAATACAATAGTCGGGGAAGACAGGAAAGAGACAGAAATTAATTTGAGGGCATTAAAAATATCACTTTTCTGATGAACATGAGAAATAGTTGAGGGAGAAAAAACAAAACAAAACAAACAAACAAAACAGAAAACCACCAAATAACCCTCAAAGATCGAGCACGCATCGTGCTTATATGGAAACACTATGCTATTCAAAGACTCGAAACTTCCTAGGTCCCTGGTTTTCAGCAGGACGAATGAGGCCATGGACCCTAAGATCAGATTTGAAAGACTCCCGAGTAGTGCAAAGTGGAAACAAAATTGAATGTTGCCCATTAACGTTTCAACCTGACTAGCCACTGGGGCTAGTGACCAGTCTGAGAACTACTGAATGCCGATGGCTCTTAAGGATACCTTGCTATTGATGAGACATGTGGGAGACACTTACTCTTGATAAAGTCTCCCTGCGCTTTCGACCAAGGATTTTTATTTGCCTTTGGAATAAAATTTATTTAAACCCCTCAGGGTCTTAGATCCCACAAAGCCTCTACTGAAACCTTTCCTACCCATGTAGTCCTGAGGCACGCAGATAAAGCTCAGTCAGTGCTGCTCAAAGGCCTAAGTGCTATGTGTCTCATAAACTGGGAGTCGATTTGCCGGCCCATGAGAGCATTATGTGCCACCATCCCTGCCAGTAGTTTGGAGACTCGCAGGTCTCCTGTTCTCCAGGCTCCAGGCCCATGCCTGGATAATAACCCGCTTCCTTTCTCTCTCTTGCTAGGGTGGGGCTGGAGGGGGTAGGGGATGGAGAGAGGCTCTGAGTTGGCCCATAGAGCTGGCCGTTCCCTGCCTAAAGAGAAATCCAGGAATCGGTGTCATCACGGTCACCAGGTGGGGACATACGATACGAATAAGCACAGCATGCGGTCAGCAGCCCTGTGTGCCAGGAAGGCCCAGAGAGGTGGGGAAGCTTACCTTCTTGACTTCATATTTAATGGCGAGTTTGATCCGGCTCAGACTTGGACGGTGGTGGTCGGACCAGATTTGGAAGTTCACATCACCATTTAAAATCGCTTCCACTTCTTCTGTGTCTCGGCACAGGTCCAGCACGCCCACCACAAAATCCTTGCATTGCATAGATAACTTCCTGTAATCGTTCTAACAGAATAAAGAGAAATCAGGGGTGTGTCACATGGAACTCCACAGATTGGCCTGTCCAGCACAGCTGTGTTGATCATCAACTGTCCACCAAGTGTGAGCTTAGTGAGCACATTGGAACCAATGAGATTTGCTGGATCCAGAAAGCAAGACGGTTTGTCTTCACACAACAATCTAGAGGCTTGTCCCCTCTAAGGCCTG